AAAAAAAAGGAATGTAAATGTCTTATTAACTCGAAACAAACGAAATCCATTTCAAACTTAGAGCACAAGTAGAACACTTCATATTAACTTACCTCCGTAAATCATTCATTCCGGAAACATGCTAACGATGCTATCTGAATTCGTCCTTGGCCAAACATTTACGACTCTGCAAGATCACTTTCTCTAGGCATCATGATATAAAAAATTACCCTCGAAACAGCCAAATAATTTCCCTTAACAGCCGACGACGCTCTGATTGGTGCGAGATACATACCGTAATGCGGCGATCTGATTGGTGCGATATAAATAAATACCCTAAACGATCTGATTGGTGCGAGTAACATACCACTCTGTACGCTTGCACAGAGTTATTTAAAACAATTAAATAAAAAACTAAAAAATGTTGCTGCAGTTTTCAACATGTGGTTTTCGAGTGCACACTAAGAAAGACAGTCACGAGGTGGCGTTCTTTCAAGGTTGGTTGTACGTCAGCCAGCTGAAAATGGTAGCTCTCGAACGGTTAGTGTTTTGTTTATATACATTCTTCTGCCTTGCAATCTGTAACGTTTCAGGTTTCGCTGCAGGTTTTGTCTTTAGTAACAATCTCTGGCAGTTAGGTGCCCTTTCTAGCAATAGGAGTTTTTCTTGGATTTTGACTATTTTCTGTTTCGTCTCCTCTCAGCTAGGTATTTCTTGCTCATGATTTCGTTGGAAGTTTCGTTCTGCATGACTGTTCATAGGAACAATATAATTGGGACATGAGTATGGAAGCGAACTTTGCAGTTCTGAACACTACTTAAGCAGTAGTAAAAAAAAGGCCTGAAAAAAAATTAAGGCCTGTACGGGATTTGAACTGTTAATGTAATTTGGTTTTATCAACGGAGTTGATACATGTGAATTGGCCAACGAAAAGAGTTTCTAAAGTTGACGTTTCCAATATTAGGTCCGTTAGCCCTTCGCGAATGATTAAGGGAAAACGTTCGAAACTTCAGCTTTAAATACCTTTTTACGGTGGCCAATTTTTCTTATCAACGCAGTTGATAAAACCAAACCATTTTGTTTCACCCGCCGGCTTCACCGATTAAAATCTTTTATTCATTACGTTTATAGGAACATTTTAAAAACAAAGCATTTCTGAATATTTGTTCAAGTGTTGTCAGGTGTGGAATCAGAGATTTCGAAACGAAACGCAATGTAAAATTAAACAAAATTGCAAGGTTTTAAATTTTGGTATTTAAACCATATATTCCAAAGATACTGCAAAAATTTACCCCGACATCGTTTGTTATCACACTGATTATGAGGGCCGTGGGGCGGGACATGAAAGGGCGGAAAACAACTTCGAGGTAATGTAATAATGCAAATGTTGATGTTATCACAAAATTTATATTCTTTTGGTTCTCATTTATCTGCCTTGCGGTCTTTAATGAGGTTCTCTCCCATAAAAACTGCCATCTAATGCCTCTTAATTTAGAGGCATACGCTTTCGACGACTTCGCACTAACTATTTAACTTCTCAGTAAGAGAACCACTGTATTCACAATACCGTGACAACGGTCATGAAACGTTGGAGTTTCCCAAAAAATTAAACGTGTCGGATCTCTTAATTTTGAATACTGCTGCCAAATCGAATGGCGTATTTACTTCAATTATGTACTTATAAACAGAGGTAAAAAAATAATTAGTTCTCGAGGCTAACTCCCGAGTTTTAAAAAATAGCCTTTGATCCATATTTCCTGTTAGTTCAAATTTATAAGTACTAGTTGTACCAACATTTGCTACTTCCAACGCAAACGAAAACGATCCAGAATTCCGTCGCAGAAATGAAAGGCAGTTATGCTCTCCTTTCAAAATGGATTTAAGATGAAAATTCGTGATTGTGGATTTCCAAATCTCCTTCATTGCAAAGTGATTTAAACATAGCAACAAAATATATCAACAAACAGAGGCAGTCTCACCACTCATGTATTGTTTTTGTCTAGCATCATTTATATACCCAACAACAAATTCGGCCAACCCCATGTGACCATTTGCACTGTCATTTACAGGAATCTCTGCGTCAAAACCCTCACACTTCCATCTAGTCAAGGGAAGCATGTAGAAGTCGGCACATGTGCGGTTTACAGGGATCTCTGAAAATATTTCTGTTATTGTATAACCATTGGAGTTCATTTCTGAGGATCGTTCAAACTCATGAATGCTTTGTGAACGTCATAGAGCATAAAGAGGCACTTTTTATCCGCTAAATGCAACTAAACTTTTATCATGTCATTACATTATCTTATGGTTTTCTAAATAATTTAATGATAAGTTTTAAATAATACTGTCAATCAACTACCAGCCCCATACCGATTATAAAAAATGTTACTAATAAAACTTATTTAAAACGAACGGATGATCAACATGAACACTATCATGGCGAAATTCATCACAGGTTTTTAAGTGAATGTCAAAAGAAATGCGGGATCTTATTGTTTTTGCTTCACTGTGGTCTCCAATTGGTCCAGATGATTCTTGCCTCTCTCTCAACCGATCAAATGCCAAACCTAAACCAATCGCGACTTAGTCAACTGCGTTTTCCCGCGCTTCAGCCGGTTGCTTGCTTTTTTTTTTTTTGCTCTGAAATCTCATTGGCTCTATAATATTCCTCTGTGCTCTGATTGACGTTGTAGTTACTCAGTTTGGTTTTGGATTTACAATATTCAATCGAGAAGCGCTCCAAGAGTTGAAACTCTCTTTACTCGTAATACCATTCACTATTGCGAAGAACATGTTCCACCAGATCATCGGGAAGGATTTGCAGTTTCAGCCTCCACTGCCCTAGGATACACTAGGAGTAAGTATTTAGAAGCCCCAGTGATGTCGTACCCAGATGTAAGATGTATTTATTAGAAACACTTTATCACTCGCTAGATGACGACGAGGTTAGTGCCTCCGCGAAGAATACACGGGCTCCCCTAGGCGTAGAGGTGTTATATGGGGCCTTTAAAAAGTGGGGCTACCAGACGTTCTTTCAAGAAGACCTTTGTTGGTACAATATTTGGGGGATTGGTTTATCTGATCTTGACCACAGAAAGGTAAGTAGTGCACAGCATTATGGTTTTTCTGAATACTGTGAAATGGGTTGAGACTCTTTGGTCGAGTTAGTTTTATCAATTAAAGCAGAGCTCGCAGCGCGCAACGAAGCCCCATACCTATCAAAATGGTAGTGATACTAATAACCATAAAGCCTAGAAAATTTGAGATATTACGTGACCATTGAACCGAACGTCTGTACAAGGTGTCACTTTAAGGATGCGTGAATAACTGCAATGCGGGCATTCATTTCGGCATTACGTATTTAGAAGGGGAAAGGAGAAGGTAGTTCGCATGTACGCTGCGTGTGTAACAAGGAATCGTATGTGCTTGCACGTTAACGATGTACAACCTGGTGATTGCAATGTCCCAATGAAGCGTACCGTGGGCACAAGGTTGGTCATAACGCTAGGCATAACCACGACTTTGCTGAGTGATTCCAAGCTAGGCCAGCGTATGTAGCAACAGGAAAACGGCAAAAATGAATGCTGAGTTTAACTCCTTATTCCTTCAGCAATATAATCTTGCAATTGTTGATAAAAATAACTCACTAAAATATTTGCACTTTAGCTTACACAAAACTGAAAGCAGAAGGCACTTAGGTAAATTTTTGTTGTTTTCCTTTAGCTGGGATTTTTTCTGCGTATCTCTGATATGGGTGTGCTTAACAGTTGTTTGACGCCAAATCCATTTGTTTAAATCAGCTAGTAATGCAAAGTAGAACAGAAAAGGTGCACATTTAACACAGTCACATGTAAGCTTTGTCGATACCGTCAAAACTGACATCTTTTGGATCAATATTTGGCCGAGTAATTAGCGACTGTCTTTTTTTTGACATTTCAAGAAAAGGTGGCTAAAAACTTGTCGATCATCGAGTATCACACATTTTCCTGCACCAGAATTGGCTTGACTAATCATCACGATTATCTGGGGAAAATTTGCATTAATGGACAGTTTTACAGTTGGTACTTCTTTGACTGCATAACAAAGGTTTATACCGCCTGAAAAATCAACATCCAAGCTAAGCCATTGGTCTCATACATGGATTTCAGCACTGGACACGAAATGACTGGGAAACGAATGATCAAATCCTATACAGGCCTGAATTTTTTCAGGCCTTATTTTCACTACTGCTTAAGTAGTTTTCATAACTGCAAAGATCGCTTCCATATTCATGTCCAAGTTATATTTTTCCTATAAACAGTCATGCACGCAACTTCCCACGCGCGAGCACTCGTTCTAATCGGGTGCTTGATATGCAGGCTATCATATTCTTGAGTGAATAACACTCCGAAACGATACTCGTCAAAGAGAGAGTAGTTTTTCCATTTAAATGCTTATGTAAATGCATCTTTAGTGCTCTGTGCTCGCTTTGTTTGTATAAACAAAACACTAACCCTCTGCAAAGATCGCTTCATATTCATGTCCAAGTTATATTTTTCCTATAAACAGTCATGCACGCAACTTCCCACGCGCGAGCACCCGTTCCAATCGGGTGCTTGATGTGCAGGCTATCATATTCTTAAGCGAATGACACTCCAAAACGATGCTCGTCAAAGAGAGCCGGAGTAGTTTTTCCATGTAAATGCTTATGTAAATGCATTTTTAGTGCCCTGTGCTAGCTTTGTGTGTATAAAGAGCTACTATAAAGAGCTACTATTTTCATGCAGCTGGCTAACGTACAGCCAACATTGAAAGAACACGGCCACCTCGTAACTGCCTTTTTCAGGGTGCACTCGAAAACCACATGTTGAAAACTGAAGGAACATTTTTGTGAAAGCTAGCACCGTTTAGTCATAGTTGTATGATTGTGCTATGGGAAAATCGACACTCTTATAAGCAGTGACAAATAAAAAAGTGAGAAATGGCATTTGTTAAATTCAGGAGGGAGCAAAACTTTGAAACACTTGCGGTCAGCAAATTTATTAGTCTAAGCAACCAAACCATTCTCCTCTATGAGCTGGTTGAAGATAACCTTTGCCATACCAGTTAGTTAACTCATAGTCTATGTCCTTCAGAGTAACAAATTGTTCATTGTTAATCACAGCAAGAGCAGATCCGTTCAGCCAAACTGAAGGGGAAATATAAAAGTCGACGTAACGACGTTCTCTCCAGCCTGATGAAACAGGCAGCATACCCTGTACGGCTTCCTCGATATCACTGCTAAATAATAAATTATTACCTTCTAAATCATCAGGGCCATCGAAAAAGGGAGTTGTGTCAACCTCTATATAAGGTGCCATCAGCATATGGCCCCTTGGCATACCCATATAAGATATCCCTAAATAATAATGGCTGCCCTTTGTCCTTAAAAGTTCTGCAATAGATGAATAGGTCGAAGAATTACCGTAGTCAGCCTTCGTAAGCGCGATATCAACATCACACGTCCAAGGTATAACAGTCTGACTTCTAACTGCACCTAACAGAGTACCATAAATAACCCGATAATCTACACCAAGTTGGGTCAGTGCCCATGTTATATCTTTCAGCATTTGAAATAAGACGATCCCGCAACAAATCGGTGCTGCCACGCTGGACAGCTCTGTTGGCTTAACATAGGGTTTCTCCGGGCATAATTTCCAGTTTGACACACACGTTGTCCATTCAATTCGATTGTTTGTGACGATGCGAAGAATATTGAATTTATTTCCAAAAGCGGCGTACTCTGTGACATCGTTAGAACCTTCTAATGTTCCACGATCCACGCGCGCTATCCCGTGTGTCCACCTGCAATTTGAAAGTTTCGCTATCTTCAGCTCGCCTTTCGATCGAACAAAAAATTCTAGCAAAGCCATTCTACCAAATCCGTTATGCAATCCTCCGATGCGATGAAACACGTCACCTCTCATTACGAAAGGACCTTGTGCAATATTACAAACTTGGTACACAATCAGTATGCCGTTCGCGAAGTCTGAAAACGAAAATTTGTTTGGAGAGGATCCATTTGTTGACGTTTTACTTTCGAGACGTGTATTTAGCACCGGGCCTGTATTCTTTATATGAAGGCTCCATTTCTTTGTAATAAATCGACACCAGGACGATTCCAGCGAATCCTTCTTTTGATTATAAAGTTTTTCCTGGTGCAACTCATGATCCGCTCGTTTGTGTTCAGTTAACGGTTGTAAACATGTTGCGCCGTCGAAACGGACCATCACATCGAGAAATTCATACAGCGTCAAAAGGGAGAGTTTATCGTCTTCGGCCAAATCGTTAAAAGTCTTCTCCTCTGTTTTTGAAAAAGGTAGGACCATCACGTAGCTATTATTTTCATCCGTCACGCCTGGTGGGCTTGATCCACCGTTCGAGTAGATGAAAGAAAATGTATTTTGCCATTCTCCAGTGTATAGCGAGGCATTTAAAGAAGCCACCCAGCTACGAAGATCATTCACATAATCAGAAGCCACACTATCTGAAGTTCCATTGCGTTTGTCCAGTGTGGTGAGACTGAACGTTTGTAAAAGCACAGAATTTGAGCTGTTGGTACTACTGAATACCAAAATTAGAAGATGGCAAATACCCGAGCATAATAGCAATAACATCAACAGTTCTAGTTTATGTCGCGTCAAATATACCGACAATTTTGCCATATCCTCACAAATTTTTTTGAACAAAACTATCCACTATTTAGCCGAAGATCGAAAGCGTTGGTGACAAGAACTATACTTATGAGTTCTGTGACTTAAGCATAGGATTCTCCAAAATCAAAAATTATTTACACAATCTGGACGAAGACCGATGAGGTTACCGGTATTCATGAAAGTATTTACAGCTTTAAATCAACATCAGCTGCATTTATCCTTATTCAAAAGCTGTCCCAATAATTCGTAAGAGTTTCCGGAGTCACATCAAGGATACTGAAGAATTCCAAATAACAACTGGTGGAAATAATGAAAATTCAAAACAACCAGTTTGCGCTCTAACCTGGTGTAGAAGACACAGTATTCGTCACACTATTGTTTTCATTGTTTTCGTATTTCCGGTTGTGATGAATCTTATTGTGACGTAACCGTGTCTTCTACACCAATTAAGAGCCACCCGCTTTACCTAATCTGCGACGCTTATCTATGACCACACAGACGTCCTCAGACTTGTCACATCATGCAATCATTCATTCAAATCAAAGTTTGCAAGGGTCAAAGTAACATCAACCTTAAGGAGGTCACGGCTTTGGATGTTGCGTTTCGAAACCTTTCGTATTTTCGGGCGGCACGAATTTAACGGAAGTTGAAACGTTAAAAATCAACCGTGAACCGCTGAATAAACTGTCTCGATGTGATGACGAAAACTGCCACGTTGTCGAAAATAGCGGTAAATTTCGATTTTACGATTTCTGTGAATTATGGCTACCTCTATGATTTTGAGAACGTTAAAATAATTAAAGGGATTTAAAGGGACCAAAGGATTTCAGGCGGAAAGGTAAGCTGCAGTCCTGACTTTGTAGTGAAAATAAAGCAGTTCAGAGTCGGTTAAAGAAAATTAAATTGTACTGAATTAAATACTTTTCATGGAAGGTCAAACAAACAAAGAAAGGAAGGTTTGTTCTTCCAAAAAATGAATGACCAAATCAACATTGGAAAAATAACATCTACCTAAGGGTCGGCGCTGTTTCATTTAACATCCAACTAAAGGTATTTAGGTTAAAGGTCTGACAAACAGGAGAAGAAGACTTGACCACAAATATTAAACGCGAACTTTTTTATGTCAGAGTCCAAAGGTTAAAAAAAAGAAAAGAAAATATATATTTGAGACGTAATCCATGCATTATATCTGGATGCATTCATTTATAATACGGCGATACTGTAGTGTAAAGTATGAAGTCGTATCTTATCTCATCGAATTATCAACCGTGCTAAGGGTTTCTTTCAGTGCGCGTCGACTTCTCCCGTTGCTTCAGTAGCAGAGACTTCTGGCACTGCAAGTAGTTTATCTGATTTGTACTTTTTAATAGAGGTCCACACCGAATCGCACATAATTTTCTGGGAAGATTCACAGCCTGTTAAGGAACAGAAATTAAATTTCGACGGCATTCCTTTTATGATTATCGGAACAGCCGTATATGACTGCCATCAGGGAAAAGACAGAAATCTGGCGTTGAAGAAGCGCATCAAAGGAGAAGAAACGAAGTTGAGAAGCTAAATCTCCAAAATTAGACATCAAAAACTTTAATGCAACAGCTTTTGATTTGGTTGAAAAGGTTTAATAAAAAGTTTTTACTGCTATCTTTACTTTTCGTCTCAAAGATGAAATCTGGAGATCATTGTGGAGGGCCCATTTCAAACATAGTCACACAAAATACAAAGAAACTGGACTGTTCAGCACGGATCATGATTGTGAGGGAAGTGGTCATGTTCCCTTCATGCCATCGGAAACAGGAAAAGCTGTAAGCAAATGGAAAACTTTTCCCAAGGATACAACTGATCATCTCTTTAGTGTGAGAGGCCGTGAAAACAAATTAGTTTCAGTGCCTTTTCTTAACATGTGGAAGTATTTTTCAAGTGCTGAGTTTACCTCCCGTCTTCAGTTTTTGGTTAGTTGGGATTTTTTCTGCATCTCTCTGATATGGGTGTGTTGTGAGAGTTGTTTGACGCCAAATCCATTTGTTTAAATCAGGTAGTAATGCAAAGTAGAACAGAAAAGGTGCACATTTAACACAGAGTCACATGTAAGCTTTGTCAATACCGTCAAAACTGACAACTTTTGGATCAACATTGGGCCGAATAATTAGCGACTCTTTTTTTCAACAGTTCAAGAAAAGGTGGCTAAAAAAACTTGTCGATCATCGAGTATCACACATTTTTCCTACACCGTCTCGGACAGAATTGGCCTGACTAATCATCACGATTATCTGTAGAAAATTTACATTAATTAGCAGTTTTACGGTTGGTACTTCTTTTACTACATAAAAAAGGTTTATACCGCCGTAAAAGAACAACATTAAAGCTTAGCCATTGGTCCCATACATGCATTTCAACACTAGACATGAAGTGATTGGGAAACAGATGATCAACATGGACGCCATCATGGCGAAGTTCATCACAGATATGACTTCGTTTCCGAACACCCTGACACCTACCTTATCTGACCATGGCCACACAAGGACTCCGTTTAGCTACACTGAAGAAAAAAGGAGAGAGTTATTCGATCCACTGTTCTTCATGACCATTCCTGATGGCGTCAAGGACAAACTGGGGGCAAGAAGGACGAGTGCTTTGATAACGTACCAAAAGCGCCTCTTTATGCTCTATGACGTTCATAAAGCATTCATGAGTTTTGAACGATCCTCAGGAAATGAACTCCAATGATTATACAGTAACAGGAATATTTTCAGAGATCCCTGTAAACCGCACATGCGCCGACTTGCACATGGGAATTTGCTATTGGGTACATAAATGATACCATACAAAAACAATACATGGGCGGTGAGACGGCCTCTGTTTAATGATATCACGGTTTTGTCGCTATGTTTAAATCACTCTGCAATGAAGGAGATTTGGAAATCAACAATCACGAATTTTCATCCACAATCCATTTTGAAAGGAGAGCATATTGTTATCTCTTTAGACGAACACATGATGTGATCAAATTGAAGGTTTTAAGATGAGACGGCTCGGGGTGGGATGGGGTGAATTGTGACGAGTGGGGTGGGTGAAGTAAAGTGGGACTGCATGAGGTGCTTTGAGCCAAGGCCAGTGGGGTGTGTAGAGGTGCGGTTGGTGGAGTGGGGTGGGGTGAGATAAAACATGTGAACTGACGAGGGCGAATTGGTGCGATGGGAGGAGAGGGGTGGGAGAGTTCAGGCAACACGAGGGAAGTTTGAGGGGAGGAGTGCAGTGGGTGGTAAATTTGTAAGGTAAAAACGTATGAAAACGTGCCTTAATTTAAACTGATTTTTAAATTGATTTTTCCTTTTCAGGAAACTGTAACTCACACACAAAACATGGCTATGGGAACTGCAAACGCTTGGTTGGAAAATCATTTGAAAAGATTGTCAAGCGATTTTAAGGGGAATACATTTTGACCGTTGTCACGGTATTGTTTGATCGTTGTCACGGTATTGTTTGATCGTTGTCACGGTATTGTGAATACCGTGGTTCTCTTACTGGGAAGTTAATAGGCCCTACAAACTATATCGAGGTAAATTTTTTGCAGTATCTTTGGAATATATGGAGTAAATACCAAAATTGTAAGCCTTTCAATTTTATTTAAATTTACATTGCGTTTCGTTTAGCAGTCCCTGATTCTACACCTGACGACACTTGAACAAATATTCAGAAATGCTTTGTTTTAAAATGTTCCTATAAACGTAATGAATAAAATATTTAATCCTAATTAAGCCTTTCAATTTTATTTAAATTTACATTGCGTTTCGTTTAGCAGTCCCTGATTCTACACCTGACGACACTTGAACAAATATTCAGAAATGCTTTGTTTTAAAATGTTCCTATAAACGTAATGAATAAAATATTTAATCGGTGAAGCTGGCGGTTGAAACAAAACGGTTTGGTTTTATCAACTGCGTTAATAAGAAAAATTGGCCACCGTAAAAAGGTATCTAAAGCTGAAGTTTCGAGCGTTATCCCTTAGTCATTTGCGAAGCGCTCAGTAACGGACTTAATATTTGAAACGTCAACTTTAGAAACTCTTTTCGTTGGTCAATTCACATATATCGACTTCGTTGATAAAACCGAATTTTATTAACGGTTCAAATCCCGTACTGGCCTGAATTTTTTTTCGAGCCTTATTTCACTACAAGTAGTGTTAATAACTGCGAAGATCGCTTCCATATTCATGTACAAATTATATTGTTCCTATAAACAGTCATGCAAAACGAAACTCATAACGAAATCGTGAGCAAGAAATACCCAACTAAGAGGAGACGAAACAGAAAATTGCCACAATCAAAGAAAAATTCGTATTGCTAGAAAGGGCACCTGCCTGCCAGAGATTGTTACCAAAGACAAAACCTGCAGCGAACCTGAAACGTGGCAGATTGCAAGGCAGATAAATTAATCTACATAAGAGACGATATGCGTTAACACGCGCGTCGGAGAAAGCGAACTTCCCACGAGCGAGTGTGGGTCTGTTTTACTGCGCACCCGTTTTATTCGGCTGCTTAATGTACAGGCTATCATATCTAGGGGGAAAAATTGACACTCTTGTGAGCTGTGACAAATGAAAAAGTGAGAAATGGCATTTGTCTAAATTAGGAGGGAGCAAAACTTTGCAACACTTGCGGTCAGAAAGTTTGTTAGTCTGAGCAACCAAACCATTCTCCTCCATGAGCTGGTTGAAGATAACCTTTGCCATACCAATTAGTTAACTCATAGTCAATGTCCTTCAGAGTAACAAATTGTTCATTGTTAATGGTAGCAAAAGCGGATCCGTTCAACCAAACGGAAGGGGAAATATAAAAGTCGACGTAACGACGTTCTCTCCAGCCTGATGAAACAGGCAGCATACCCTGTACGGCTTGCTCAATATCGCTGCTAAACAATAAATTACTACCTTCTAAATCATCAGGGCCATCAAAAAGGGAAGCTGTGTCAACCTCTATATAAGGTGCCATCAGCATATGGGCTCTTGGTATACCCATATAAGATATCCCTAAATAATAATGGCTGCCCTTTGTCCTTAAAAGTTCTGCAATAGATGAATAGGTCGAAGAATTACCGTAGTCAACCTTCGTAAGCGCGATATCAACATCACACGTCCAAGGTATAACAGTCTGACTTCTAACTGCACCTAACAGAGTACCATAAATAACCCGATAATCTACACCAAGTTGGGTCAGTGCCCATGTTATATCTTTCAGCATTTGAAATAAGACGATCCCGCAACAAATCGGTGCTGCCACGCTGGACAGCTCTGTTGGCTTTACATAGGGTTTCTCCGGGCATAATTTCCAGTTTGACACACACGTTGTCCATTCAATTCGATTGTTTGTGACGATGCGAAGAATATTGAATTTATTTCCAAAAGCGGCGTACTCCGGGACATCGTTTGAACCCTCTAATGTTCCACGATCCACGCGCGCTATCTCATGTGTCCAACTGCAATTTGAAAGTTTCGCTATCTTTAGCTCGCCTTTAGATCGAACAAAAAATTCTAACAAAGCCATTCTACCAAATCCGTTAAGCAATCCTCCATAGCGATGAAACACGTCACCTCTCATCACGAAAGGACCTTGTGCAACGTTACAAACTTGGTACACAATCAGTATGCCGTTCGCTAAGTCCGGAAACGAAAATTTGTTTGAAGAGGATCCATTTGTTGACGTTTTTCTTTCGAGACGTGTATTTAGCACCGGGCCTGTATTCTTTATATGAAGGCTCCATTTCTTTGTAATAAATCGACACCAGGACGATTCCAGCGAATCCTTCATTTGATTATATAGTTTTTCCTGGTGCAACTCGTGATCCGCTCGTTTGTGTTCAGTTGACGGCTGTAAACATGTTGCGCCGTCGAAATCGACCATCACATCGAGAAATTCATACAGCTTCAAAAGGGAGAGTTTATCGTCTTCGGCCAAATCGTTAAAAGCCTTCTCCTCTGTTTTTGAAAAAGGTAGAACCATCACGTAGCGATTATTTTCATCCGTCACGCCTGCTGGGCTTGATCCACCGTTCGAGTAGATGAAAGAAAATGAATTTTGCCATTCTCCAGTGTATAACAAGGCTTTTAAAGAAGCCACCCAACTACGAAGACCATTCACATAATCAGAAGCCACACTACTGCGAAGATCATTCACATAATCAGAAGCCACACTATCTGAAGTTCCTTTGCGTTTGTCCAGTCTGGTGAGACTGAACGTTTGTAAAAGCACAGAGTTTGAGTTGTTGGCACTGCTGAATCCCAAAATTAGAAGATGGCAAACAATCGAGCATAATAGCAATAACATCAATAGTTTTAGTTTATGTCGCCTCAAATATACCAACGATTTTGTCATATCCTCGCAGTTTTTTTAAACAAAACTATTCGCTGTTTAGCCTAAGATCGAAAGGGTTGGTCACAACAATTACATTTATGTGTTCTGTAACTTAAGCATAGGATTCTCCGAAAGCATAAATTATTTTTCACAATCTGGATCGATGAATACACTATTATGCAAAGTTTAATCAACGAAGACCGATGAGTTTATTCACGAAAGTATTTACAGCTTTAAAATCAACATCAGCTGCATTTACCCTGATTCAAAAGCTGTTCCACATCAAGGATACTGAAGAATTCTAAATGATAATTGGTGGGAAGGAAGATGAAAATTCAAAACAACCAGTTCGACCGTCTGGTAACTTGATCATCTAAAGGCGACTGAAAGTCCTACTCACAGCAATGATTGCGTCCTTGGTCCAGGCCCAGTGCAAAAGCCTCTGTTTTCTTCTTGACGAAATGGCGTTATACCGTTTCATCCAAACGTTTTTTCTCACATTCTAACGGCTTCAACGCGATGCGAACTCGCCTCATGTAAGAGCACGTTGGGTCAGTAGACGTGACGCTTTTCTATGAGAACGCAGACGTTGTCAGACTTGCACGTCACGCAATCATTCCATCCCATCAACGTTTGAAAGCTGTCATGACCGCCAATTAAAAACAGAGCGTTCTCAAAATATAACGAAACCACGGGTAATGGCGCTTAATACAGGTTGACCGCTTAATACAGGGACCACAAAATAGGGGCACTCCAAAGAAACGATGAAAAACGTCATTTTATGCCATGATTATTGTCGACAAAATAAGGTGCCTTACGGAAAATCGCCCTACGCGCGCTACTTTTTATTATAATAAAGTTCGGATATAACGCGCGCTGTAAATTGGTTGAAAGAGTGTGTCCTATGAGAATATAGAGCGTAGAGCTGAGCTAAAGCTGTCGCGCCATCTGCCAAATTGTACTATGTTTGACCTTTTCCGGGACTTCTTTTTAGGTTTTTTTCCGATAATTGAAAGTGAAATTTCGGAACAAGCGAGCCGGCAAGAAGCAATAGAAGAACCAAACAAAGGTTTGTAAACATACCAGGCGCCGTAATTTACGTTATTAAAACGTGAGCAGGTACGAAAATCCTCAAAGGAAAAACAAAATAGACATTCCGAGTTTTAAAGATTAATTCACTTTCAGTTAGATTGCAAGCTTACGTACGGAAATAAAAATCAAACACAGCTAACACTCATACAGTATATAAAGTTCAGTCTTCAAAAACAAAACAGAACAAAACAGAAATGATGAAAAATATAACCAAACTGGCATAACTGTTAAAATTCATTCTAATCATGACAGTGTCTAAGCGAATATGATCATGCTGAAGTCCATAGCGGCTCGCTTATCATGGCGATCTCCGGTCATCACAGTAAAGCAAGCCTCAGAAACTACATGGGCCACCCTTCGAGTGAAAAAATAAGAGCTTGCTCTGATATCCTTTCCAATGCGTTGAGTGGAAAGTCACATCTGTTACTGCAGCCGAGTTTTGCCGCGCTGTCATCCCTAGCGATCTTCATGTTCCGGTGAATTCGGCTGTCGTTCATTCAAAAACACTCGCCTTGAACAGTTTGTTTTACCTTGTCATGTGAAAAAACTCGCGTGTTGTTTTATGAGCCATAATTCGGCTAAGTTCACTGAACATTTCACTTCAAGATTCTGTATTAGAGACTTAAAAACTTCAGGCAAAAGTGTTAAATTCGACCTGCCGAACCATCTCAAATTATTTCTTCGTTCGATATACTATTTAAACATTAAGCTTTACAAAACTTGTTGGACACATTTGCGTGAATCGGTAAGAAATCGCGCTTTGCGAAATGTGCGGTTATGTTGCACCATTGCTGCTTAATCGATAACCCAAGAGGTAACTTACCTGGATCAGCCATTGGAAGATATTCAGTTCTGCTAATCAAACCCTCTAATGAAACATCTTCCACGCAGCCTAACTTGTAGAGTACAAGGGAGAAAAAACTTTGGCTTCAAGAGTAGCGCTTTGATGTTATTCAACTTCTTAAGTATTTAAAATTTTGTCCAAAGTCTGTTGTCGCACAGGCAATCTTTTGTTTTCACCATTGTTACCTTGATCCAAGAACTGTATACATGACAAAAGGTCTCAAGACCATGCGCTTTGACCAGCTAATAATTTACGTAACAAGACTCGCGAGAGGAACTAGTTTGGATCATGTTTATACAAATAGGAGCAAGAATATTGTAGATGTACTGGTGCTAAAATATGCTCTTTCAGACCATCTGCCGGGGCAGGAAATATTTCAGGCAATTGATATGCACGCGCCTATCATGCATAAGCGGCCCCGGGTTCGTAAAGTCAAGCAGCCGCGACGGTTAACAAGAGACATTTTAGATCAGCTGTCAAAAAGAGACACCCAATTGAAATTAGCCAGGGCATATAACACCGCTGACGCATGGGCAAGGTTTCGCGGTGCGCGAAATCCGGCCACCAATATGATCACAAGCAAAAGGAAACTACTTCAAGGCGTCGTTTCAGAATAGCAAAGGGAACTCTAAATGTATTTGGAAGTTAATAAGATCCCTTGGAGGAGACCAACCCGTCAACCAGAATTTCCTAAAGTTACCAAAGAAAAGATAATCTCAACAGCGACAAACATAGCGGATTATTTCAATCTGCACTTTACAGCTGTTGCAGATAAAGCGAAACGATCTCTCCTGACCACAAACGGCTGCAATCTTGACAAACTCAGACAGTTTGTTAGCGAAAGGCTACCTGTTGAATCACAATTCACTATACCTCTGGTCACAGCTGATATGGTGAAGGCATATTTACTGAAATTCCAGCCAACAAAGCAACTGAAGTTGACGGAATCAGTTGTGCTCTTTTGCGCCTAGGCATCACAGAACTAGCGCCGTCAATAGCAAAGCTAATCAACCTATCGCTTTCATCGGGGACTTTTCCTTGTTATTGGAAAAGAGCCAGAGTGACTGCCATCCATGGATGATGTAAATAACTATAGGCCTATTTCAGTACTTCCCGTGCTGTCTAAAATCATCGAACGTCATGTGCATGACCATTTGTCTGAATATCTAAATGTGCACGACCTCATCTATAAGAACCAGTCCGGATTTAGAAAGCAGTACAGCACAGAGACAGCGCTTGCCTATATAGTTGATACTCTGCGATTCAATCTGGACAAAAACCATATCAATGGTATGGTTCTAGTTGATTATAAGAAGGCCTTTGACATGGTAGATCACGTGACTCTACTTAGCAAGCTTAAGGCCAATAAACTGGATAGGAGCAGTTTACTTTGGTTCAAGTCATATATAAACAATCGTATTCAACTGGTTTCATTCAAAGGACAGACATCGACCGTTCCATATTGGGTCCCTTACTTTTTGTGTTGTTCATAAATGACTTGCCCTTAAATGTTCACACGCGAAACGACGGCATGTTTGCTGACGACACCACCCTCCTCGCTTCTTCTTATTATATAAATGTAGAAGAGCTCAAGAACACTCTCCCTCGTCGATGAGTGGGCAACAAACAACAAACTGCCCCTGTTTTGTGCCAAATTGTTCCGAGACGAAGACAATACGAACTGATGGACTGCGCCTACGAAAACGTTTAACTGAGTAATGAAGATCGCAAGCTCAAGATAGAGCTTAAGGGAAGTACATTAGAACAGGTCAAGAATGTCAAGCTGCTAAGCCTTGAACTTGATGAACAGCTCAGTTTCGATGTTCATATCGACTCTTTATGTAAGAAGTTTTCAAAGCGTATCGGCATACTTAACAAAATTAAGGCTTACTTACCATGAGCAGAGCGTACACTTTATAATTCTTTTATTAATCCACTGATATTATGTTGCAGTGTAACATGGACAAGCTGCTGTAGTCATGATGATATAAATAAGATATTTAAGCTGCAGAAACGCTGTGCTCGAATCGTCCTTAACGCCCAACAACGCCATGGCACTGTGGATCTATTTAATAGTTCTTTAGGGTAGGTGCCATATAACATCGAGTCTGACATCAAAAGATGCTTAATGGCCTACAAGAAGATTATGAGTACTTGCCCTGCCTATATAAACGAACTGTTAGAACTAAACAAACAGCCAGCACAGCAGAAATACACGAGGTGCTAATTTAACAATTTTACCTTGAAGATACATTAGAGAGAAAGAGGGAGGCCGCACGTTTTCTGCAACAACCTCAAGATGTTGGAATCACCTCCCCTTAGGCTACGCGCTTCTCAATCTGTAAATACTTTGAAGAATGCTTTGTATAAACATTTTAAATTAAGTCAGCTTAGGGATAATATTTTTACTCCTTTTTTAGATATTTTATTCTTGGATCGCATGATATGAGCAATATGTTTTAACTTTAACTTTTAAACGAAAAAGAAAATTAAAATCCGTTTTTTTTTGAGCTACAGAAAAAGAAAAACGGAGAGCATTGAGTGAATTTGAATTACGTTTCCTTCCCGACGGGGAAAAATAAAATATCAAAATGGAAGTCCATTATCGTTTTTTTACTGCGAAGACAAACGAAAAACGAAAATAAAATTTGAGGTTCATTTTCCTATACAATTGAAAATCGGTTGGCACTAAGGTACACGGATTATTGCGGTTTACGGATTTCCCGTTTTTTAGCATTTGGTTTTCGGTTTTCATGAAAAATACCGACGGGTTTTCGAATTTGATATCCGATGCAGTTTTTGGTTTTTCCTATTGAATAAACGCTAAACGCAAATGTTATTGAGAGGAATGCGTGACAAACAAATTGAAATATCGAAGGGATCCCTTGGGGGTTCACGCGTCTTGAATGGAATTAATGTAGTTTACTCTGTATGTTCCACTTGTCACCACTGTATCGGATCGATCAGGGTTTTAATAACTGGGATGTGAAAATGTATCGGTTTTGACAGTTTTGCATGCGGTTTTCGGTCTTGGTCGAATTTTTTCGGTTTTTTGGTTCTGGATGGTTTTTTTCTACGGTTTTGCGGTTTCTAATAGGCCCCAATGCCCCCCTCGATAAAAATTGTTGGAGTTTAGTAAATTGGGTTGTCATCTTTCGTGCCTCATATTTTATTCCTGATTTGTTTTTGATCACTGGTGCATTTTCAGATCGACAAAATGTATCTGATTTCCATGACAATTGGTTTTCACTTATTTTCATCCTCAGACGTTTAGACGTGGTTTTGTTATTTATGACTGTCTTTCCGACAGCTTTTGTGTAGAATTTTACACTCTATATTTATCATTTTTTGGGGAAGACATGCAATAGCCGGGAATTTTTCTGGCGGAAAAGATACACTTTAATATGTTCCTTACCGAAGCTCTCAAAAACATATGTTTGAAATCTTTAAAATTAAAAGTATTAACACTCCAAACGCAAAAAGCCATTTTATATTATGTGGTCAGCTTCTGGTTAATCACGATAGTTTGTCTCCGTCGTGTGAATTAATTCTTTGGACGTCGCCCCACATGCATAATTTCACAAAAGTGATCGAGTACATATTTTGTGCAAATAGCAAGTTGTCATTTCATTGTAATATCTTACTTGCTGTGCCGAGTTTTCACCCCTTTCATCAAAGCACTGCATAAAATAAACATTTTGTCCAATCAAAGCGCTAATTGATCGCGATGGTAAACGGCAGGTGTCCGCGTTCACCAATCAAAAGGATTGAAAATGAATTTTAAATACATTGTTTTCGACCAAAGGAGTATATCTATGAATTCTTACGAGTTTTCAGTCGCACTTTAAGACTGGTAGACATGTTTTACGAAAAAAGGTTTATTTTTCTACTCTTTGACGGTGTCCAGACGAAGTGAGGATTCTCGCTTCGTCACCTTCGTATTCACAGTGTTCTGTTTCAAGTAAGAAAACAATGAGCGAGCTTATATCGACAGCTCCATTGTACACAAGAGATCGGGTCCACCAAACGAAAATAGGGAATATTCTGTGTACTGGGAAAGGCTGTATTGGCTGTGATAGAAAGTTTCAGACTGGTGATCAGGACTTGTCGGAAATTTTAGGCGAGGTCGATTTGGTGGATTTTGACAAACAGGAGCCTCGGTTTTTACCGACTTCTACCTGTGCAAGAGGATTTTCACATAACTACGACAAACACAATGACGGTCGGCATGGAAACACAGCATTGATGCGAGCTAAAACAAAGAAGGGAAAACTTCTCAGCAGATCGAAACTTCGAGTGCAAGAGCGAAATATTACCAAGGATGGTGTAAAAGTTAAAGAAAGAGATTTTCAGCCCGCTAAAAATAAAATGAGTAGGCCAGAGTCATTAGCTGTTGATCATAACACAGATACTAATAGACGTTGTTACAGAAAAATTGTGAAGACTTCGGCTCAGTCAAATCACAAAACAATAAGAAATAAAACTGTATCTTTTTCGGCCCCTCTTGTTAGGCAGGGGACGTTTACTCTTGAAGTTAGTGAAACTGGAAAATCAGAAACGAGTCAAGAACGTAGAAATAACCGAAAACAATCGACTGCTCCTCTGCAAACCAATGGTCATCACTGGAGATCTCGGTCTCACCTCTCGATAGCGGAACCAGACACAAATTTCTTGAAAGTCAGGCAGGGGATGTCCACTCTTATAAATGGCGAGAAAGGAATATCAGAAAAGAGTCAAGAACATATGAAAAACCGTAAACAATCGACTGCTCCGCTGCAAACCAGTGATCATCACTTGAGATCGCGTTCTTACCCTTTAATGCCAGCACCGAAAACGAATTTCTTGAAAATGCTTCATAACAGCAGTGTAGGAATATTTGACATCAAGTCAATGAAAAGCAAAAAGAAGTCTAAGTGGGTGAAAAAAGTTTTGAAATCCGGAGTAAAAGAGGAAGAGATATTTCCTCAAATTGAAGGTCGGAAAACCACGAGAGGCGGCAACAGAAACTTTAAGACAGCGAGAAACAGCCAAGAGGAAAGCACATCAAATTTACCTCAGAGATCTAACGAAAAATACAGAAACAAGGAAAAAGACTTAAAAAATATATCTTCGAAAGACAAAGGGTTTTCAGCTTCGGAAGATGATCGTCAATCTTCGGTTCTTGTGATTGAGCATTCCCACGACGAAATGAACACAAAAGATGAGAGTTTATACAAGCTTGGTTTCACAGCACAACGTAGTGAAAGAAAGAAGAACTTTCCCGACGTTTCAATACTGGAAATTGCCGAAAGTTTGGAAGGTTTTGTTCAGCTGGGAGTTATAAAACTTATCTGTCAAGAACACGAAGGCTGTTGGTATATTATAGTGAGTAGCCGGATTATTCGTGATTTTCTTGTTCAAAATGGCGTAAAGATGCGTGGCAGGAACTTCCAACTGATTGATTGTACGAAAAACTCATATTAATCAGTAAGTCCTGGAAATGCTTAACAATTAGCTTCATGTTGTGATATGAATGTACATTATCCAGCCAACAGGTTACGATAATAATACAGAAAAAAAAATTATCAGCGATTAAATGATTGAGTGGTATCTCGATTTATTGCATCTATTTTTAAACCATAGATGATCTTTGCAATCTGATGGGCTCTCAGCAGTGCGATTTGTTCACGAATCGCTCCTCTCTTTTCGCTCTAAATCGCAATCGTTTTCTCAGCTTGAAGAGAGCAACACCAAAGCAAAACTCTCAATCAGCAACCGTACAGCAACCGAGTCTGGCCGTTGAGGGAGCCTGGAGTTAGAGCCACCTTCACGCGCCATTGTTGGAAACCTGGTTGCCGGCTCCTACCCTAGCTGCCTGTAGATTCTAGGGAGATTACAGTAAATGATCCTCTCAGTCTTTCAGTCAGTCTTTCCTGCTTTTTCGAAGAAATATTTAGGAATAAACTTATAAATAGACTGTCATTTTTGGAACTGTCATTTTGTCAGCAGTTTTTGATTTTTCATCTCAGTGCTTTTCCCAGCTGTTGCATTTGCTAACACGGTGAAATATGTGTAAAAAAGGTATCACGTGCACTTCTGTCAAATGTACCCGTTATCACGTGCACTTCATTTTAACCATTTACATCCCAACACTGATCAGAATACATACTCTTCATACCGTTCTCTACACATTTTCTGTGGCGTCGACAAGAAGTATTTGTTTAAAAATCAAGAGCTTGTTTAGTTCGTGATCTTTTCCTTTATTCTCGTTACCTTAATGTTTGATTCTTTGGAGACATTGTATGGGGAATATAGATGCTAGTCACTTCTAAAGGGTTGTGCAACCATAAGCCTTACTCTCCCATATCGACCATAAATTGGACTTGCATCTTGTGGACGTGGATTCCAAAATGAAGCTTCAGCAATATTCGTTAGTATTGGGAACATTTTTGGAAATTGGAGTAATATTAGCGGAAAGCGTCATACCTTTGACTTCTAAATCGCTTACGCAGTTCTCGCCCAGCATCCCATGCTTCACCAAAACATCCGATGTGGAATATTGCAAAGACCCGGCTGAAAAAATTTGTCATTTGAAACAGTTTTCGGCAGGTCACAAAGCAGCACGAGTCAATACGGTTTGCGATTGTCCTAATAAATAATACTATTGATTTAAAAAGTTACGCAGGTGTGAAAAAATTCACATAGGAAAGCTGTAGACAATCGAATAATTTAGGCGATCAGGAGGACCTGTTCTTGCCCTCTCTTGGTCAATTTCCATGCAATCAGAAACCGAATCTTTATCAGATAATAGCCGATGTCGGACCTTTATAAAAATATTTGTTCTTTTAGAAGCCTCTTGACAGGCCAGCAATCGCTCTCGGTCGTCAGTCAAATTTTATGAGCCTTCAATACAACCAGCGGTAAATCGCGGTCGTCATGAAAGATGGCCGAACACAGAGGAAACATACGCTGTTGTTTTGTAGTTTGTTTTGTTTTTTTCCTTTCTTTTAGACTTTCTTATGGCGTTTTATATTCGTCAGCCGATCAAATGGTTCTTTTAGAAAACGATACAATCTCCAGTGTAATTCATAATAGCCCATCGGCTTGGGTAGTAGAATTTTATTCCAGTTTTTGCGGACATTGTCATGCGTTTGCTCCTACATGGAAGAAGCTGGCAAAAATGGCAAAAGGTGAGTCCTAACGAATAGAATGTATCTTGCGGTAGAAATTTATTTATGATGTGATATGACTGAGGAAATTGGGAAAGAACTACAAGAGTGGATAACTAAAAATCTATCAATCTGCTCGCGATCGAATGTTCTTTGTTTGGATGTGATCTATTTTTAATGACATGAAATAAGAGGGAATGAGATCTCTATAATAATTGTTTCAGGGCGAATTATTTTCCCAGCCCTTCCCTTTTATTTGCTAAGAAGCGAATAATATGTTTTGTCAGGGCCAATCTGTCGAATCTAAGATTGGCGACAAAAGTCAGCTGCCGTCGCAAGTTCATTTTCTTTATCCTGATAAATTATTTATCAGTCACAGAGGAAAGGGAACTTAACACCACACAGTTATGGGGAATTTTTTTAAATCGCCATTCCTTCTTCGGTGCCTGCTGCAGAAATAAGGCTGAAACGAACTTAAAGCTTGAGCTGAAAGAACGAAAACCATTATATTTCTTGTATTGGCCCACGGAATGAAGTTTCGAAGAGGAAGTCTATTTAAATGTAAATTATAAGTAAACAGCTGGTTTTTTGAGAACCTATTCGCGACAAAACCCCATTGGTTTTCATTTTATTTTACTTGCTGATCCTTTTCAGCTCTTTTATATCCTTTATTTTGATTTGCTTTAAAGTCGTGATCTTACTAAAACCAAATGATGGTGTGGGAAAACAAGACTTAGACACAAGGGATACATGTGGAAGCTGTTTGCTTGTTTCAATTAAAACATTAAGCTCGGAAAGAAAACCAGCCATTATTATTGAGGCAAATTTATTCAGAATAACAAGTATATTCATTATGTCTAATTTAGACAGGCACAAGGCCTTTCTTTTTGAACAAAAAGCTATTTGTCAAAGAGAAAGCTTCACTGAAGAAATAAGTCTAAGTGCTACACCTTTCTTGTGAAAATAAGGTATCTTTTTGCATGAAATGAAATAATGATTTTCTCATCGCTTTGTTTTGCACTAAAATCTGTTTTAAAACAGAGATAAATTTTACCTGTGCCAGTTTTAATGAACAGCTGAAATGTATGATATATATAGAATTTAATATTGAGTCTAGGCATGATAGCCTGTATGCAGATGCCTCCTATTTCTTTGATGAATGATTTTTATTGATTATTTTTAGAAGGAACATTATATCTACTTTAGTTTAAATCAGATTTCTGATCAGAACCATCTTAAAGTACAATTTCAAACAAAATCTGTGGAAAAATTTAGCTTTTTGGTCTTTTTGCCTTTAAAATGTGCAGTGTCCATCTTGGCTTCATGCAAAGTTTTGTTTCCTTCCCCTGTCTTCCACAAGCACTTGGTTTTCTTTTAAATGCAAAATTCACTTGTAGAGGAAAAGAAGAAAACAAAATTGACAGGAAGGGAGAATTAACAATCAGATCTTGGGAGTTAAAGGGTCAAGAATTATATATTAAGCAGTAGCCTCTATTTGGTTTGATAGTATGTATCGATAGTTGCAATGAATTAGTGTTTGAAACAATTGACTGTTTGCTGCACATGGGATATTTACTTTTCAGTAATCTCTGGTATGACTTAATGAACCAAAAAACATCCCTTTCTCTGTAACAACAGCTAAATGCTCTTTCATCTTGATTTGAATTTTAAACAATCGCTTTTATTGCAGTTGATGTACGGTTTGAAAATTGGCAAATATCACCTGGGTTATATCCTCAGATATTCCCTAGTTGTAGCTGGGGCATGCTCCATCATGTGATGCAATTATATCAATTACTAGCAAGCAAAAATATCAGATGGATTATGACAGGAATTATAATGAACTATTTTTATAAGTTCATTTATGAAATCATATCTGTCTTGAAATCAATTTTTTGAATTTTTCATTGTTACACATCTTGCCTTAAATATGAACTATAATTAAAACAAACAAGCAAAAGTTCAAACAGGATATTGTGTAGCCACATTGTGAATCTCCTCTTAATTTTAGAATTTGCCTTTTTTCCATTGAGTTCTCACTGTTACCTACATTCTTTAATTTATAGACTGGAAGCAGCTTATACATGTTGCTGCTATCGATTGTGCTGAAGAACGTAATCTAGCAACATGTGTACATTATCAAATAGAAGGTTATCCTTCTGTAAAGGTGAGTGTGACACACTAGTCATTTGTTGGTGCTCAGTTTAGCATGGCATTGTAACAGAGGTCATGAAACACAAGGCAACAGGTCACTGTGGCAGGTCCATACAACGAGTCATACAATCTGTTTATTGTTAACTCTTAACACTTTACATCAGTATGCATATTCTCCACAGTATAATTTATATATTGCCTGTGGTAGTGACAAGGAGAATTTTGATAACAATCAAAAGCTTTTTAGCTGGCCATCATTTTTGTTTTTCTCTTTCAGTGGTGATACTATAAGCCAAAACTAAGTAGCTAGCCACTGTTAGAGGTTGGAAGGTTAAATCAAAAGCTTTTTAGCTGGCTATCATTTTTGTTTTTCTCTTTCAGTGGTGATACTATAAGCCAAAACTAAGTAGCTAGCCACTGTTAGAGGTTGGAAGGTTAACAATGTGCCATGACTCAAACTCTGTGTGTCTCCACTGTCAATCTTATCTTAATGTGGAATTAGAGACTCAAGGGGTCAGGTGCTGTGTGATGTAGGATTTGGCTTTAATTCTGAATTTGAAGGTGATCTGGGAAGCCTGGAAAAAAAGGAGCTTTGCAACAAACTGTCAATTGTATCTGTGCATTTTCTGTGGGCTGTGACACTTCTGGAGATAATACACAAACAGGCTTTTATTACAAAATTATCAAAATTTTCTTATGGACCACATTTAGGGATGTTTTGTATGAAGACAATTTTATAATATTATATGACTAGTAATCTACATTCTTGATATCAGAGAATGTAGAGAAGATTTAGGCAAGAAGAGATCAGCAAAATTTTCTTGGTCCAAGACCAGTTGAAATCAAACAGCACACCACTTGAGTTTCTCAGATTATGTTACACAAAAAAGGGGCTTTCATGTCACCGGAGGCCTCCTTTCTCTACAAACACACATGAAGTATTGCCATTGGTCCCTTTCGAGAATGAAGCACCATAAAAACCAACAACACAGTTTAAATCATATGTTATTTCAGATCGAATTTGTTTGCTTGACGAAATATACAGCTGTATAAACTAGTGCATGGAAGCATTTTTCTCATGAAATAATACTATTGATTTACTATAAAGTGTCTTGACATTATTATTTATGCTGAGTCTTAATAATTAACAGAAAAGATTTACTTTGTACATCCAGGCGCTTTTGTTTCAACACACTATATTTACCCTTCTGCTGATGTTTTCTCTCCAATAGTTTTTTAATGCATCTGCTCCAAGCTCTAATCTAGGCAAAACATTTACAGGTATGATGTTAGGATATGATGTAGATAACTTTCTTGTCACATACAGTTAGGATATTAAATATTCCCATGAAGCATTAACTGTGATTTTTTTATTTTTGGATGTTATTATTTAATAATTGATTCTTATTATTTTCACTATTTTGGTGATTTGTAAATAATCTCAAAATGATTAACAGTAATTAAAAGATGGCGTGCTTAAAATTTTTTGCACTCTTGAGTTAGTGCTAAGTCAATTAATAGATTATGTGTAGAATTTAACCTTTCAATTTTACTAAGATCATGCATAACAAGATAAAAAGATGTTTTT